TATCCCTTTCTTACAAGTTCTTCTTAGGGTATTTCTTTCAAATGCACAATATAACTTAATTTGACAATAACAATCTTTGATTACACAGATTCTTTTGTTTCACCAGATCCGGTGGATGCTAAAATAATGCAAATAAACATGATAGAAGGCTGTCACTGTTGTCCCAGAAATGGAATATAATTTCTATAATATAATATAATATAATATAATATATAGTAATATATAGTAATATAATATAATATAATATATAGTAATATATAGTAATATAATATAATATAACATAATATAATATAATATAATTTCTATAATATAATATAATATATAGTAATATATAGTAATATAATATAATATAACATAATATATAGTAATATAATATAATATAATATAATTTCTATAATATAATATAATATAATATAATATAATATAATATAATATAATATAATATAATATATAATATAATATAATATAATATAATATAATATAATATAATATAATATATAATATAATATATAGTAATATATAGTAATATATAGTAATATAATATAATTTCTATAATATAATATAATATAATATAATATAATATAATATAATATAATATAATATAATTTCTATAATATAATATAATATAATATATAGTAATGTCTTTCAATGTAACAAATGTCTGATACACAATAAAAAAAAAAAAATTTGTTATCTTTCTTAGATTCACAGTCATACAGATTATTACAGGTGTTGGGCTGGGTACTAGCTGTTCTTGGAATGATATCTCTCGTCATATCTCGGATACATTATACAGTTGACGTTGTGATCAGCATATTTCTGTGTGCCTTTTCTATCCCACTACATCAGATAATCTTAGATAATCCCACTCTGATGGATGAACATGTAATTATTCGAGTACTGTTTCCCATGACTTACTACTTGGAGACGAGATGAAACATCTAATGAGACTTACAATTTTTTTTTTAGGTTTATTCGGTTTTGTGCAACATATTTGATGTTATGAATGTGTAGTTTCATTCTTTTTCTAAATTATTGCTGATTAAACTAATTCTCAGCTATTGTGAATTTTCTGATGAGATTTAAAAACGATCAAAAAATTTAGACATGCTGAAAATCATTCAAATTTAACTTTTATCGTCAAATACGTCACATAGCTGTCAAAAAAGTCGTATAAACCTAAAAAAAAAAAATTAAGAAAAATGTTAAAAATTATGGTGCCGGTAACGCAAACATATTTATGATTCAAGATGTTAAGAGGCCAAAGTATGGCCTTAAAACATCTTAACTGGCACATTTCCCAGAGCATCCCATGATGCTACGGCCTGGGTTATGAGATTTTACATCATGCCTAAACCAAACAGCTGAGGGACTTTATTAACATATGTTTATTTTTTATGTTTTAATAATATTTCTGAAAAAGGTATTTGATTCAGACACCTATTTTGAGCAATTTAAACATTTTTTAAACAAAATATTTTTTTTTTTCAAATTTGTGTGCGAGTTTGATGCTACATATAAGGTAAAATATTTTATTTCCGCTGGAATCTTTTTTCACCGAAAAAAAACAAAACAATCATTTTTGGTGTTCTGTATGAAGTTTATTTTCATTTTTGCTATGTTGAATGTAAAATATAGAAAAAAAGGTATCAGCGAAAATAAATTTCAAAGAAAAATGCTTTGCAGTATATCGCTAAGCTGAGATAAATTTTTGTTAATAAATGTGATAACAAGTGGTAGTATGGCTGCCTTTATGCCTTCACTTCTTTTAAAAACATGTGAATGCATAGAAATGAATTGATCAAATAAAAAATGTAATTGGACAATTAATATGATGTTAGTTACTTTTTTTTCATATGAATTATGTGCATATTTTCTGTATATATTTTGCATATTTAATCTATAACATTGACCTCGAAGGAGAGTACTGGTCAATAATTCAACCATTTACATGTGCATGCATGGAGTACTATAGAAAAAAAAAGTAAATAAAGGCTGTGCTATGGAAATGGGAAAATATCATGCTTTAAATTTCATATATTTGACAAATTAGTGAACTAAACACAAAATGGATTTTTGCATTTGATGTATAACTTTATAAAATTACCTTAATGATGTTTGACCTGAATTATGATTATTAGTCAAGTATTTTTAACTATTTTCAAATGAATTATGATACTATATGTGTATTTTTGGATATCTATTGAAAAAAAATAAAATATTATTGTCCCGTTGAATGTGTGGACAATTTTTAGTTAACCCGTCTACTGTCACTAATGTTTTTCTCACATTTTCCTTAATCCTTTGATCGCCGAAGTCTACTTTAGGCAACATTCACAAAATTAATCCTCTAATTTTTTTTAGATTTGTTTTTAAAAGATCAAGACCTGCAGCCAATAGAAAATGATGTAAATTTGTTCCAAAATTATCCCCAATTTTTTTTTAATAATACATAAAATAGGAAAAATGCTGCAGCAATATTTTGGCTGGAAAAATATGGTGTCCAAAGGTTAACCTTTTCACCACCAGTTCCCTCATTCATCACAAATTCACACAGTATTCCTATTTATAGTCTGCTCTTTCTTTCAGAAGATTGGGACAAAAATAAAACACATTTTATGAGTGAAAATTAACCCAACTTTTGTTTGTTGGCTCCAAAATAATACTGTAAAATACTTTATTTTCACTTAGAATTTATTTTCGCTGAAGGATGATTCCGTGAAAATAAAATTTAGCAAATATACTTTTTTTTCTTATATTTCACATTAAACTCATCAAAAATCAGTGAAAATAAATTCCATATAAAATGCTCAAAATGCCTTTTCAGCGAAAATTAATTCCAGCGAAAATAAAGTATTCCACAGTAGTTCGTTTCCAGAAATATTGAAGAATATAAGAAAAAGTGCAGAAACATTTGGGTGAGAAAGTCTGGTGGTGAAAAGGATATAGAAGCAATATTCATAACTTTGAGAATAATTCCTAGTTTAATCATAAATGTTGATGTTAGCTGGAAAATAATTTATCATAAAAAATTAAAAATGATAGCATGAATCATTACTGATGTTAAAGCGACATTGTCAGGATGCTTGTACAAAAAAAATTAATGTTTACATATCGATGTGTATTTGGAGAGCTGCTTAAAGCCTGGTGTGCATCTGTTTGCAAGGTAGTATGTACAATATATGGGTGTGGTTACGGCCATGAGCGGTGTTCATCACTTCACACCCATGTTGCATTTCAATAAACTGCATATAGCATGTAATAAGCGTGATGTATTTGAAGACAAACTTTAAGATCCAAGTAAATTATGCACATTTGTGATTGTTGAGGCCAATAGACTCCTTTCATGAGTTGAGCGCCCTCAAACACTTCCTGTTTCCTGTAAGAACAATGTGAATTTTGACTTTTTATTTTGACCCAGCCTTTTGGTTACGACCATGAGCGGTGTTCATCACTTCACACCATGTTGCGTTTCAATGAACTGCATATAGCATGTAATAAGCGTGATGTATTTGAAGACAAACTTTAAGATCCAAGTAAATTATGCACATTTGTGATTGTTGAGGCCAATAGACCCCTTTCATGAGTTGAGCGCCCTCAAACACTTCCTGTTTCCTATAAGAAACGATGTGAATTTTGACTTTTTATTTT